CTTTACTTAAGTTTAATCACCCCTCTTCCAACATCATATGCTTATAGTGATTCCCAGTGAAACCCACTATCCAGAATCGCTGTAACAATATAAACATAGAAATTTAGATAAAAGTAAAATAACTAATTATATAAAAATAAAATAATATATATATAAGTAAAAATTAAAAAAGAAAATAATAAAAAAGTAAAATAATATATATAAAAGTAAAAAATTAAAAAAATAAAGTAATAAAAGTGAATAATATATAAATTAAAAAAGTAAAATAACAAAAAAGTGAAATAATATTAGAAAATTTTATTATTATATAAATATTTTTAGAATTTTTATGTTTTTTAATTATTTTTGAAATTTGTAATTTTTATAATAATAACAGTAATTTCTAAAAATTTGAACTTTATAATAATATTTATATATTTGAATTTAAAAATAATAATATTTTTTATTATTGGGATCAATACTAAAAGTATAACAAATATAACTATAAGCTTTATAATGATAGTATAAAATTAAAATTATTTCTTGAAATAAATTCTGAAATTAAATAAAAATTATACTTATAAATTATACTAATTATATGAATTTATTAATAAAGATAATTCATTTTATTTCTTTATTGATTTTGATTTGTTTTAAGAGATACTAAACTTTATCAAATTTAAACTTATATATAAAAAATATATAATTTTTTGTTATACTTTTAAAAAATTTATTTAGAAATATATTTAAAGTGTGATAAAAATACTTTAGCTAATACTGGAAGTGTAACTCAAAAAAATATCTTATCTTTTTATATCTTAACTTTAAATATAAATCTTAAAAATATTTCAGATTGTATATTATTTGTTAAATTTATTTCTAAAAAAACTTTCAATATAACTATAAAGTAAAGATATTGTTGATAATATTGCAAATAAAAGCTTATTTTTTTTGTGAATACTAGAAATACCAAAAATAATTAAAAAAATTATGAGAAAATAATAAAAACTAATAAGCATATATAAATAAAAAAGTATTTTATTCAAAAGATGAATTTATATTTAACTTTATAATTTAGCCTTCTAATAATGAGATATTAATTATAAATATCTTCTTTTTAATTATTCTAGAACTAATATTAACTGGAATATATAATTTTTATAATAAGTTTATTAAAACTACAAATGCTAAATTTATATTAATAAACTTCTTACTTAAAGAATATAAACTTTTATATTTATTAGAAAATTATTTTAATACTTTTCTATTAACATATATATCATCTTTACATTAATTATTATAATTAAGAATATATTAGTAAAAATATATATATAATTCAGAATAAAATTTCTATAATTTCATTGTTATTGTGCCAATCAAGAAAAAGAACAGATGCAAGAAACCTCTCAATAATACTTTTTATTAATGAGTCAGTTTTGGATAAAAAAAATCTTCCAAGTTCTGTGAAGTTGGATTGATCAAGAATTTCAGATCTGAGCGATCACTTTGTTATTTTATATTTTCTCTATATATATTTATTCCTTTATCTAAATTCATCTCCCAACTCTTGTTCACATTTATTAGTTGATTTAACAATTAATAAAAAAATGTAAAAACATATGTAAGTTTATTTATAATAATGTAGGAGAAAATTTTTAGAAAAATTATTATCTATATAATTCATTGTGCAATCTTTCAAAAACCTAACACTAAGCTTTAAATTTATACCATTTTCAAGTATAATTATTTGTTTTTATATTTATCGATTTCTAGACATGATAAAAACGTGAAATTTTAATATATATTTGTCAAAACCTAAGCTTTAAAATAATATAAATTTTATAGCTTTTATTATGAAGTTTTGAGTAATTAATGGTGCCCGGTGAATTTTGTTAGTGAGTGTATCTGATGATGCCGAAATACATGATGCTGAGTTATCTCGTTTACATCAACAGACAAAATTAATAAATTTATTAGAAACTAAATTAATCGTTATCCTAAAATAGTTTTAAGCTTAGATAAAAAAGAATTATTAGTATTTTATTATCATTTGAAATATTTTGATGATTTGATAAAGCTTGCTTTATTAAGTTTGCTGATATCATTTGTTGTTCATTTTTAACATGTTTTCAATTCTGTGTGTTTAAAAAATTATAGTTCATTACACATATATACACAAAAAACAAATGTGCTCATATCTATCTTTCAACCAATAAAAATTACACCTCACGACAATACGTAATCAATCAGCCATATTAAATTCAGCGAGAAATTATTCATTCATGATAGTGATGATAAAAATTGCAATGAAAATAGATGGCAAAAATTACTTCGAGCCGTTCAACAAATCATGCTAAAAAAATTGAGCCAAATAGCAATCGATTACGGATAGAAGCTTTCAATGATACATTATGAGTAGAATCGATACCAAACGAACAATTGATAATACAACGTAGAAAGTGAAAATGAGAATGAAATTGGTAGTGGTCAACATTCACTTATGCATGTATTGCTAACGAAATTGATGTTGAACTTGATTAGAACGAGACAGATAAAGAGTTTGATCAAAGTTATTGAGAATCAATACAAACGAATCAAGTAAATAATCAAATGAAGAATCAAGTAACCAAAACTCACATTAATAACACTAGTAGTATATACGTACATATACAGTATTACATAATAAATGCTAGATAATGTACATGATTATTATCGCTATGGAAAACTTGTTCGTAGTATTATATTATTACAACATTTGCAACTATACTGTAAAATTTTTGCAATTATAGTTGCAAGTATAATTGTTATAACTATTTACTAAAGGCTAACCCATCGGAAGGAGGACTCTCTTCTTTTCTCCTTCGCCATTTGCTAATAAAGAAAACTACTAAAGTAATAGATATTAATCCCAGAACTCCCATACCAGCAGCTAATCCAATGATTGCAGGCTTATTGTTATCGTGAGGAACTACTGTTGGGGTAGTGGTGGTGGTGATGGTTGATATTGTAGTGGTGGTTAGTCCGCATAATTCCACTACAGGTTTTCGGGGAATGTCTGCGAGTATTTGGCCATTAGTGATATTGCGCCATTGACATCGATGTTCATTTTGAAATAAATCACCACAAGTCAGATTAGCAATAGTTCCGATAGGATTACTAGTATTACATGGACGGTAACTAGTTCCATCATCACAAACCGTGATGATATTGGTTTCAGCTTCAGTAGTGCGATTCACCATCCATTCAGAAGCTTTGGGAAAGCGGTAATAGTCTGATTCATTTTCCTTTGCCACAGCATCTACAGACAAACAAAATAAACTGTTTTTCAAACCACCACAGACTTGGATTGCAGCCAAATCAGTTCGTTTACAAGCATCAAGTGTATTGAGATTATGGCATTTGGCTACTTGATAATTGCTGCCAACGCAGTCAGATGAAAGAGAACAATTCTTATTATCTTTAGCACAACAATATAATTTGTCAGCTATAATTTTTCCCGCTTCTACTTGGCTACAAATTGAAGTTTTATTACCACTAAAATTACTAATAGGTTTGTACATAATGAATTGTTTGAGTTTCTTCAAAGCAATTATAATATTTATTTATATATATGTCTGGTGTGACAATTTTGTAAATACTGCATTTTAAAGAGACAAACATTATGTCCGTAATTTCAATTTTACAATATATTTTATTTGTTATAATTTAGACTACTCAAATACTTTCGGGTTGAGTTTTGTCCACTGTGGACGAAACCTATTGGACAAAACTACTAATAAAAACAGTTTCGGAACCCATCTTTACTGCATTAACAAATGTCGTATGACTTTATAAATGTTACATTTATTTAGCCTATCACTTTTTTATAAATTTATTTGTTTCACATTGAAGAAAGAGCTTTTTGAAAGAACTTTATTTGTATTCGCACGCAGCTGATACTCTCCGCTGGAATTAGCAATAGCAATAGAGATAATAAACCTGTAAGAGAACAATAGTTAAACTTTCTAATACTCCTCATAGAGTATTAGCCAGCATGTTATCTTCTTCTTTAGCATTTAATGTGATACAATAATATAAAAACTTTCCGCTGAAATTTGCAATAGATAAACCTTCAAGATAATAATAGTTAAACTTTCCTAATACCCTACATAGAGTTTTAACCAGTATTTTCCCTTCTTATTTAGCCTTTAATTGGTTACAATAATCTAATAACTTATTGGTACATCCTTTTTTTCAAAATTCGTACCTAACGCAATCCAACCATGTTAATAAAAATTGCGAGAATAGATGTGATGGATCACCGTGGATTTACTTTCTTACATAATCAATTTTATCGAAACGTAGCTTTAGAGTATTGAATTGAATTCAAATTAGATACAGTGCGGGACAGCATAAATCAACACCTCTGAACGTTAAACAAAAGAACTGTTCTAACCAAATTGTAACTATAAAGATAAAAAAGAACATTTTGGTTAGACATTTTTTTGTTTATAATTTAAATATCGTTCGGTGTGTCAGTTTATGCTGTCTCGCACTGTGCACCTACTAGACAAAAATCATTGGGCACCCAATTTACATTAATTTCTCAAAAACTTATACATACATATAATGAGATCCTATATCCCCTAAAGAAATAGATTTTAGAAAGAATAAATAAATATACATATGTCGATATATGTACGTCGTTGGATCTATTCCCTTGCATTCTTTTCTTAGACTGTCGATATCTTTATTTTCACTAAAAGAGGAACCTGTACGTCATGTATGGGTACAGATTTGAATACATGTATAAAGTTCATGTTTTTAATTTGTGTTGTGCTACATACGTAATCATCAATTACCGCTAAATTGTAAACGCTAATTATCCTATTACATGTACATATGCCTTTTTTGTCATGTACATGTACAGTACATGTACGATAAAGTTCATGTTGCACTAACGATAAAAAATTATCGTTATCATTATACATGTACAAGTACATGTACATGTATTACCTAATGTTGTTCAAAAAAAACAAAAGTCAAAGACCTTTAACTCAATTAATAGGAATATGAGAAATAGATAAGATATTTTAAAAGCAAAAGAGGAAAATAAAATAGATTTGTTCAGTATTTGTTACGCTCATTTCATATTCGATCAAAAATCACTCCATCAATCACATATTAAAAAGTACAAACTATCAAAAAAAGTTGTATTTATAATAGTAATAATAATAAAATAACTTTACCTAGTCTTTTATATATCAAAATAGCTTTAAAATTAAATTGAGGAGATATTGCTAAAGTTAAAAATACAACTTATGAGTTTACAAAAAAATCCTCTATAAAAATTGATGAGACATTAGAAATTGTAATATAACAGTCATAATTTGAAATACAAAAAAATAAAAAAAGCTTGAAGAACTGAGTTCTTTAGAGAATTATCAAAGTGAATTTTCTAATTGTTTGTTTGAATTTTTCAAGAAACTAATTATTATAATATTAAAAAAAATATGAAGTTGTGATTAAAAAAAGAAAACAAAGAAATCTTGAAATAAAAAACTTTGACATAACTTAAGCAAGCAAAATATCAATTTTTCTTATCTCAATTATATTAAATTTTGTATTTTCTAATACTAATATATGATTAATACATATTATGAGTTCATTATGTAATTTCATGAAAAAATTATTTATATTCCAGTTAGTTGATTGAGTTTCCAAGAAATTAGAAAAAGTTTTTTCAAATTTATGAAGTAAATTATCTGTAAAAATTGATGTACCAAAAATATTTTGATTTATCTAGTTCAATTCACTTTGATTAATTATTGTAATAGAAATTATTTTAAATTGATAAAATAAATTGAAATATTATTCTAAGAATAATATGAAAAGTATTGTGTATAATATCGAAAATATTATCATAAGCATATGTTTTTTCAAAAAAATCAATTTTATTTATTATTGCTATATTTCAAATATTTTTGTCTTTCTATAAATGAAGTTTTGATTATATCTCTTTAAGTCGATTTTTTTCTAACTGTCACTCATAATGTTTTGTGTGAAATATAATATTTACCATATATAAAATATCATATAATGAAGAAAATAGCTTTAATTTGTGATATAAAAAATACAAATTGGATATCAAATTTCACTATCTAATGTTATAATTCTTCAATCTAGTAATAATTCAAACTGTAATAAAAATATTTATGATATATATAAAATGTATTTTAATAATATGAATATAACAAATAATAAATATTTGTATATAGCTTCTGATAGTGATATATTTTTTTGATTAGTATTATATAAAAAAATAAATAAAAAAATAGTATTACTTTTAGGATAATGACACATTGTTACTATAATAACATAAATTTCTCTAATTCAATAATCTTCTTTAATTATACAAAATTCTCTTTTTTCTTAATTTTTATAATTTATCACTTGATTATTATTATTTTTATTCAATCATATAATTATCTCACTTTTATTTTATTATACTAAATCTTATATTTATATTCTAACTATCATATTTATTCTCTTTTTCTTATTTTTATTTATTTTATCACTCTAAATCTGAAATTTACAATTTTGATCACAAATGTTCTACATTAATATTAATATTTCACATATATAACTATATTTAGTAATACTGTGT